GCTGGAAATTTATTGTGACTTAATGAAAATTTCTGGAAGAATTACGAAAATTTACGGAAAATTTACATCAAATTTTTCACGGACGTTCAAAATTTAAACGTGAATATCTCCACGGATATCGATGCTACAGGAATAATTTACATATCATCTTGTAGCCAAGAACCAGGGCTTTCGATCTGTCATAGAAACACCTTAGTAGAAAATCGCTTCCTGTCTCGTAAATTGTGACCAAAGTCAAAAAAATTGAATTTTTGGGCGTAAATTTACGTGGGTCCCGTCTGTGTTACGGAAATTTACGTCCCGAAAAATTTCCTGATGTAACTCATAAGAGACGGGTCCGTAACATACCACCTGACAAGTAAACTTGCCCTCAACATGTTAAGGCCTTCCTGAACAACCTATATTATATATTTCTATTCATTTAACTCTTTCCTTAATAAATTTATAAAAAAATTAACTAACTATATTATTACATATATTTTTAACTATGTTTTTACTATTTTTTTCCATATTTGTGTTAGTATTATTATCATTAATATTACTATTATTATTGTTAATGTTTATATTTGTGATCTGATTATTATTTGACATGATTAAAAATTTACATTTATTTTTATTTCATATGCCATTTTCTAACTCCCACCTTTTTATCTCGTTACAACATCTCACCTATATATTCATTCTTATATATTGTTTGAATTTTTCTATCAAATTTCTAATTATTTTATTCGTTCCTTCTTTGTTATCAACTATGGAATGTATTATTTCTATTAAGGAACTTGATAAGAGACCAAAAACTATATCAATAAACAAAAATACATTTCCATCTCTTGTCATGGATTGTGTTTCAATCTCAAATTTTTTTAAGTTGTTTATTGTAATTCTTGTATTTTCATCAAGGCTTTGTGTCGATTCTTCAATAATTTGTTTTTATAGTAAATCTGTAAATTTGTTCCTATATACTTTCATATCTACCAGGTTTTGGGTATATTTAAAAACATGATATTGGTCTTCCTTTTCCATGTTACAATGAGGATACTTATCATCTTTATATATATTTGGAAAGTATTTTTTAAGTCTCTCTAATGTAAGCAACTCATTGTTCATTAATTTTATGTTGAATGATCTTTGTCATGTATCATTTAAATTTATAGTTTGTTTATCTATGTAAGATAATGTTGTAGTTTGCCATGATGATTTCCAACAAATTTTCTTACTTTTATTATCAGATATTGCTATTATATTTCTATTCAGTAGTCTCCAACTAGCTGATTGTTTGGTTACACTCAGATTTTTGTAAAAGTTTTCAAGGATTCTTCTATAGGTTGTAAATTCCAGTAGCTAATTGTATTGATTGATACTAATATTTGTAGGTCTGAATTGCAGTTTGGTTTATTATGACTTTTTTTTGCAAGTTTATCTGTTAGATCATTGAATTCTATTTCTAAATGTACTTTTATTTTAATAAATTCTAATTTAATCTTTTATATAAAGATGATTTTATTTATTGCTTTAAGTAATATTCAATTTTTTATTTTTGTATAATTTTTCTTATCATTTTTCGTGATATTTGTGTATACATCAATTGTTACCTAACTATTTGTAAAGATTTTAAGGTTTAACTGTTTTAGTATCACATAAACTGCAGTTAGTACAACTATGATTTCTGCTCTATTTGACAATATGAAATCCTCAACTCTATCATTAAATATAAATTTTGTATTGTTGTTAACAATTGCAACCCATCCACATCCCATTACTGATTTTTGACCTGTTTGTTGAAATTTGTTATTATTATTATTTTCTATTAATGAGTCATCTGTATATATTTTGATCTTTTTGTTATTGGATAATAGAGTTCTGATCTGGTCTAATTTATCTTGGACTTCATTATTTGATCAAAAATTTAAATATTTATCATATATTTTTTCACGATTGTTGGTAGTATTATCAATATTTATATTTGGTAATAAGTGTGATGTATTTGATTAACCTGTCTGTTATTTAACTAAGATTTTATTTAGTCCATATTCAATTACTCCTATTTCAAATTGTAAATGTAGTTTATTTTTCCTTTCAGACATTACTCTACAGAAAACTTTGTTTTTAATTACATTAATGTTTACTGTTTGTGGAATCCCTACTTTGATTAAATAGACACTTTTGTTTCTAAGATCATTTGTTAGATTATTATCTCCTTGTGTGCAGCCCTGGCATTTTTTAAGGGGTGAGGTTTCTTTCCTATTGATATTTCTTTCTCTAATATAGTGTATTAGGATAAGTTCATGGTTATTTATCACTTTGTGTCTTTTTTTCAAGATCATACTTTAATTATTGGAATTTTGAATTGCTGTCCATTTTATTTCATTACTTTGTTTGTCAATGTTTTATTCACAGGTGTTATTTTTGTCTCTTAATTTCTTTTTGATTTCTTTGTCTGAGATCTGTCTTTCTGTTAGATTTGATAAAAGTTTTCTTTCAATTAGTTTAAATTATCCTGGTTTAGGATCTCATCTTTTATTTCTAGTTATACCTTGTTAGTACAATAGAAAGTTACCATTGTTATACGTGTTGCCCAAATCCCAAATCATTTGGGATTTGGGACGCCAAAATCCCAAATTACTAGTATTTGGGATTTGGGATTTGGGATTTCGGCAAAAAATACTAATCATAATTTGGGATTTGGGATTTGGGATTTTGGCATTTGGGATTTCGGCATTTGGATTTTGAATTTGGGTGGCAGGTATAACCATTGTATGATGTTAATTATTCTATGAACATTATTTGTCAAGTTCTAAGACTTTTCCTATATTGGAAATAACAATCATGATCATAAAGTATTTCCTCAATGATTACATTTCCTCCTTTTATTAACATACTTCTCACTATTTCCTTAGACATTTTAAATGTAATATTGTTTACTTTACAAATTTTCAGGATATCATTAATCAAAGATTGACTTCTCAGTGTATTAATAGTTTCTGTCGATTCTAAGGTATAACATTATCCTTCCATAATGATATTTTAGTATAATATCTATTAATTTACTGTGGTATTCCGTTAGAACCGTCAATAGGAAGATTATAACTTGAGATTTAAAAGAATAATATTTTGTTGATTTAGTGCAGTTATTGATAAAAGATGAAAGTACTGATGTTACAAAGTTGCAATCTGAACAACTTATAAAAAAAATTTTGTATAATTAAACAAGAATTGACCCCTATACAAAAAAATAATAAAATAAAATAAACATAATTAATTACAAAAAATTTGAAATTGAGTTATATGAAAATTGATATAATTATATAAATGCAATAACTGAATTAAAGATTTTTTTTATATTTTTAATAATATATATATACTATATATGTTTTTAAAATAAAATATATATTTTAATTTTTTAAGATTTTTAAAATATCTATTTTATATATAAAAATAAAAAAAATATTAGTTTATACATGTTTTCAAAATTGATTTTGTAATTTTGAGATATTTTATTTTCTCAAATTTTATGCAAAATCTATTATATATATGGAAGTAAAAAAAATATTCAGTTAAGTATATTTTTAATTAAAGAATAAAAATCAAGTTTCAAAAAATTTTTATTTTCTATATAAAATAATTTTATATTTTATAAAAAACTATTTTGACTTTTTTTTAAAATTAATTTTGAGATTACATGATTTAATTTTATGTGCAAGTATAATAAGTATAATCCAGTCTAATATATTTTTAATCAAAAAATTTATTTAAATAATTAAAAAATTTTAGATTTTAAGTAAAATAATTTTGTCTTTTATGAAAAACATTTTGTTTCTCAAAAATATATAACTTTTATTTAATAAAATAATTTTAAAAAGTACAATATATATAAAATTTTGTACTAAATATTTTATTTAGAAATTAAAAAGTAGTTGCCTTAATGAAATATTGATTTTTAAATTTTCAAAAAAAACAGCTGATATGATTAGGTGAAAATTCAGAAGGATTGCTTACATAAAAAATTTTGTTGACCAGATTAAATTTTTAATTGGAGAAACACAATTCCTAAATATATATTATAAAATATCACTGGCAAAAATTACTAGCTAGTTAAATAAATTTTGAGTTTTCTTAATTGTCTCGTGACAACACTTTCATGCAGGTTCTGCATTACGGATCTGCAGTTGTTCTTCTTAATCATTTGATAAATATTACATCAATTCTTTAAAATCACCCGCCAATTGATCAAATACTATTCAAACTAATCATAAACTCTATTTATGTGTTACTAAACTTTCCAAGAATTCGGTAAGACAGTCGAGCCATGTATTATGATGTTATTCGGTTAATTCATTGGTATTTCAATTTTTCTTTAAATAACAATTGGTAAAATGTCACTTACTCCTTGTGTTAATCATGCAAACCACCTCGTTAGTTTCGAGAAATTTTTATATAAATTTGTGGGGAATAAGCGGATAAACTAGTTGCACAGAATCTGCTGCGGAGTTTATTGGTGTGTGAGGCTAAATTTTCCCAGGGTTACCATCAGTCCTCCCTTTGGAAATAGTTCTCGGTGTTCTTTTTTAAGTCCGCCCGTCTCCCTCTATCAAATTTCATTTATTCTTCTTCTTGTCCTGTGTTTCGTTCATTTCATTTCATTTCTTGTTTACGATCATACTCTTTTATCTCAACTTTACTCTTCATACTTCCTTTATTTCACGACTGGCAAGAAACGTTATATTATAATTCTCCTCCTATTACGGTATCTTATTTTACTGTATCGTATCTTATACCTCCCTTGTTTGATTCTCGAGTTTTATTTTATAGTTTATTTGAGCGAATATTCCTTTCTTTCTAATACCTTCTTCGAAATATCTTTGTTTCTTTTCTTGATCACAGCTTTTGCTACTTACAATTACGTGCATTGCACAACACCGAAAGCTTGTTGACCAACTAAGGCTCATTTGCCGTGGGAATAATACATTGGCAATCCCCTTTCTTTGTGTTAAAGCTTAAATATGTCTCAGCTTGCCTCAACGATACCTACTTTTACCGAGCCCAGTGCTATTTGTCAAGAAAAAACCACCACTGACAAAATACCAATGGTTGTTAATCAACGACATAAACCTAGCACGACTAAAAAGAGGGCTTCTAAACAAGAAGACTCTGACGACTACGAAGGGACCTTAAATGAACCGGTGGCTTACCGTCCATATCCTGTAACAAATATGAAAATAAAAAGGACAAAATATTCAACTTCTCTGGATCCTCGTGGTTATATTCCTGGTAAGTTTTATATTATTGCGCCCACCATTCTCGAAATTTCCATTTACCTCCATTTTAGTTTTATTAATTAAAAAATGAATTCCATGATTCCTTTTATCTTTATTTTTACTTACTTTTGTCTTTATTCTTATCTTTACTTTTTTTTTTTTAACTTTATTTTTATTTCTTTAATAGTATATGAATTTACCATAAATGATCAACCAATTATGTGGGATCGAGAGAATGGATATGTTCATTTTACAGGAATCTGGAAAGCCCTAGGGAATAATAAAGCTGATATTGCTAGATTAGTTGATACTCATCCTGATTTGGCTTTAACAATCAAGAAGGTTAGAGGAGGATTCCTTAAAATACAAGGGACATGGTTTGTATATATTTAATGTTTAGAAATTTCATCTGAAATATTTACATTATTTTTAATTAATTTCAATTAATTAATTCCTCAATTGATTTTTCATAAATTATATAAATTTTAGGATGCCTCATGATAAGGCTTACGAGCTTTGCCGTCGAACGTGTTATGTTGTTCGTGAGGAATTAATACCTTTATTTGGACCCGAATTTCCCTCACAAGCTTTAGACCCAACACAACCAGGATATGGTCGTCTTACACTCTCTGATTCGGTACCAACTAAGAAAAGGCAAAGGCGTAAACCTAAAGATGCGCGCACGGACAATTCGACTTCAACAACTAAAGGCAAGGCTAAGACCATGATCAAGTTGTTAGCTTCCCCTCTTGAAGAAGAAAATTCTCATGATATTATTACGTATGAAACAAAAGATGATATTGTTCCAATTATTGATCAACAATATCATAAAAATGTGAAGGTTCAAGGTCTGGATACTAATCATCGTCATTTAGTAATCCTTCGTAAACATAAACGCATATCTGAAGATGATCTCACCGAATCAATTACCGATAATTTGGTATCTAAACGAAGGAGACAACGTTCACCAACGAACAGTAGCCTTGGGGATGATGAAGATTCCTCCACTGAGGAGGATCGTAATAATTTGCGTCGGGGTTCAGTTTCGACATTTTCTAGTATTTCCCAACATCATCACGAAAATCACGATATTTCTCATCACCATGAATATCAAAATATTTCTCAATATCACGAACAGCAGCAAAATATTTCTCATCATCATGAACAACAACAATCTTCAATTATGAATCCTACGGATACAAATGAAGTACCACCAGAGAATTATTATGAATTCCCTCATTCCCCACCTGCTACCGCCTCTCCAATATTAACTTTCCCCGATCATTCCATTAATTATTCCCCTAACCTTCCACCCGATCGTTCACCAACTACTGATTCTTTTTATTATGATTTTTACACCCCTTATCCACCTCCTACTATTCACCCTTTATATCCTCATCAACCACCTTCACCGTTAACAGAACATGATCTTTATGATGCAATCAACGCGACTCTCGCGTTACAACAATTATCACAAGATAACGGGGATCGTCCTTTGGAAAAAGAACAAATGTCAAACGCATGGCCTCGAAATTTTATTATGGGAAATCGAGAATTTCAATTTATTGGATGTCGATATCGCGTTGTCCGATATTGGTAAACTAAAAAAAAATAATGTTGATTATTATTATTGTATTATTATTATTGGGCATCGGGGGGGAGGATAGTTTAAACGAAGCAACAATAGGTTACGAATGATGAACATTTTATGTAAATAGCTTATTATTATGAAAAAAAAGGGACGAAAACTTTTCGTGTATTGATAACGATTTTTATTTTATTTTAATGCTTTAAAAAGCATCACCTCTTGCATTTTTTTTTATTTTTATATACAAACAAAACTGCTTTCTTTATTTAGTCTTTTATTAGGACGATTCATTTGCCTGTATCAATTTATTTGTATATTTCTTTAGGTTGTTTCCTTGATTTATATTATTAATTTGTATATATATTTGTTGTATACTTGTAGATACTAGTTGCTATCCCTTTTCTTTTTATTTTATATACATTAACGTTATTTTCTTCTTTTTTTTTTTTCATTCTTTAAGTATTATAGTGAGGGAAAATCTTCATTGCAAACTGTGTATCACACTGTATTATCAATATAGTTTGTATATATATAACGGACTTTTAAAATTCTCAAGTGTTGGGCTTTTTTAAAAAATTTTTTTTTTTTATTATAAAAGTGCAACTGTATTTTTCATTGTGAACTTGATAAATAAAATTTCTTCACAGTTTTATAAATTCTTTAAAATTCTTTTTATATACCAAAATAATGTATACTGAAAAAAAAACTAACAAAATTTTTGTCTGTTTGGTTTCATAAAATTATAAAAGATTAAAGTTTAGATACATCCATTATCATCTTTGATTAATGGCATTTATATGAATTATTTCACTTTCATAATATCACGAAAGTCTTGAAAATTTATTTCTCATAAATCTTCTTTAAGTGAATTGTTTTTTGAACTCAATGAAATTTTTTACATACAATCTTGTGTTATTATCAAGTGCCTTGAAAATATAGGATGCTCGATTAAAGTTATATCAGATGATACCGGATCATTCTCACTATTTACACCCATTGAGAGAATTTTTGGTATTAAACAAGTTTGTGTGTTCGAGGAGGGAAATCGATAAATAATACGCTTAAAAATACGACCAATAATGATTAAAGATCAAAAAGAAATACGTGATATAATTTTTTCCCCTTAAACCTTATAATAAATTTAATGCAAAAAAAGGGGGATAAAAAGGAAAAAAAGAATTTATGCCAGAAAAAATAGAAGAGTCAAAGAATTGAAAATTCCTACTATCGTTTGGAAGAAAAACAAAAAGAAATGAAAAAAGGAAAGGAAAAAAAAGAACTCGAAATTTAAAAAAAATCGAACCAATTTAATTTCGATTACTGAAGTGGAATTCATTTTCGTTGTTCCTTGGCAATATGTTCATATAACTTTGTTTTCCTATTCTTATGGGAGATATTACCACAATTTAGCTTTAATTGGCTTAACCTCCCCCTTTTTTGCGGGTCAGCTATAGCGACGCTTTAATTGTTTTTGCATTTGCCGTAATGACGAAATTAATTATGGATATTTCACCACCTACGATAATTTTCAAAAAAAATTTTTTTTTTTGACTTCGCTCGCGATTTTCTACTAAGGTATTTTTATGATAGATAGAAAGGCCTTGTTCTTGGCTACAAGATGGAATGTGTAGTATCGATATTTATCGAGTTTTTATAATTAAAGTCAAAACGTCTGTGAGAAATCTCCACGGACGTTTGACTTTAAACCATAATAACTCGATGATACTACAGAGATGAAACATATGTTATCTTGTAACCAAGAACAAAGCCTTTCTGTCCATAATAAAATAATTAGTAGAAAATCGCTCCATGTTTCGTAAATCGTGAGCGAAGTCAAAAATTGCAATTTTACGTACAAAAAAATTTTTATATAAAAATAATTACTGCTGCCGAGGCATTTTCGGATTTTCAGATTGTTAAAAGGTATTCCGAAAATATTTGCATGCCATAATTCTGGCACCATCTATAGGGTCAGCAAAACCACACCCTCGGAATTCTCTAAAGGGCGTGGGAACATCCGAAAAATAATCCCCAATATTTCATTAAAAAAAAGATTAGGTAAAATAAAAAAGGCGAGACAAGACAAATTAAAATGGAAGGGAAAAGAGACGAAAAAGAAAGAAGAAAAAAAACGAAAGGGTAAAAAATATACAAAGACGACGACGAGATAGAAAAAAAAAGGAATAAGAAAAGAGATAAAAAAAAAGATAAGAAAGAAAGGAAGATGACAAGGAGAAGAAAGAGGACGGCGAAATCTTTGTATTTTTTTCTTGATTTAATATACCCGTAAGAATGAAAGCTCGGAAAGAAATGAGTAGTCGGAAGTAAATTATATTATTATTTAATTACAATAATAACAAAAAAGTTATAACATTACGAGCACAATATATTAACCATCAGCACACATATATATGTCATTATCTTGTATTTATCTTGTCAGCGATCCTACAATAATGATCTACGGTTAGATTTGCTCGTCAACGATCGATCACTATTTTTTTAATTACGGATTACAATTACAATTTTACTTTATTAAACATAATTATGAAAAAAAAAAGGACCTTTTTATAAATTCTCGATGATCGACGAAATGAAATCAAAATAAACAAAATTACAAAATTGGAAATTATTTACAGATATTCGATGTACAAATATTTGTGCTTTACAGGATAATAAATATAATAAAAATACTATATAATACTATAATAATATATAATGGTAATAATATAGGTAATATAAATAATAATAATTAAAATATTATAATGATATAATATAATAATAATAATAAAATTAATAAAATATACATCTATTTATAATTACTAATTATAAATAATAGTTAATCAATCAATGGTTTGTAATTCCAACATCACGTTAACCACCATACAAATAACATAAATAGAAATTAAATAATATCCCAAAGATTTTGTCATATGGTAATTATTTAAAGGTATAAAAACAAGAGTGGATAATAATGATATTAATAATCCAATTGCCGAAATGAATAATGTTGGTCCAGTATCAATTTTATAAGGAAGTCCGGTTTTCGCAGTCATATATGTTCCACTTAGACCAATACCCAGAAGAATATCTGATAATTTATAAAGAGTTAAAAATTTATTAATATAATTTTCCTTATTTCATGAATTAAATAATAAGAAATAAACAAAGTAAATTGAAACTTACTTAACATAGGACTTCCAAAACATGCACTTATAGCCATCATGGGTAATCCCATTTTTGCAATAGTAATATTAGCAACAAAATCTCCAAGACTATTACCCTATAAGAAATAAAAGAAATATAAAAAATATTTTTTATTAATTAAAAATATTAATTTAATGAAATAAGTAAAGTAGTGAATAACCAACCATAGCAAATATTGTGAGACCTAGAATAGCTTCACTGACTCCAATAATTAATCCAAAAGACTATAATAAATAATAATAAATAAATAAATAAAAAATAAATATATAAAAAAAAATATAAATGTAATCAATCATGTGATATATGGGTTCTTTTACCTCTAATAAACTGACAACCTCATTAGCTATGAGAAATATCCAAACCATTGCAACACCAAATCCCATAAAGCACAATGATGAATAAAAAAGTGGTGGTTCATTTTCATGAGCAAAAATTATACAAAGTAAAGATAAGGTTATTCCAATAATTAATGAATATATTATAGATTTAGTGTCACCTAGAATTATGTTTTAAAAATTGTTTTTGATTAATAATATTTTCATGTTTTGTGAAATAAAATAAATAAAATAAGATAAATAAAATAAGATAAATAAAATAAGATAAATAAAATAATTAAAATAAATTAAATAAATTAAATAAATTAAATAATAAATAAAATAAAATAAAATAAAATAAAATAGAAGAAATAAAAATAAAAAAATAAAATAAATGAAATAAAATTGTTTTACCAAATAGGACAACGGAAGTAAATAAAGGTGCAAAAAATAATTGAATAGCAGTTAATGTTCGATTCCAACCAATTGATTTTACATTTTCATCAGGAGAAGGAATGATAACTTCATCTTGAATACCAATTATCTCTGTTGGCATTGTTGGTGGTGGTTGAATAACAATTGTTGGTGGTGGTGGTGGTAATTGATTATCAAATGTATTTTCTTGATTATCCTTTTTTTCATCATCATTTGTTACATCATCTTCATAAACAACCGGAAGTGTAAGTGTAAGTAAAAAAGTTGCTGGACATGCCATTAAAGCAATAAATTTCGCAAATAATGACTTATTTGAAAATCCCTCAAGATATGGAAAGAAAAGGATTTGAAATTTATTTAACAATGATAAAATTGTTATTTTAAATGATGATAATGATGATAGGTTTGTAACTGGTAATAATGATGGTGATACTATTGGTGATAATAATGGTGATAAATTTGGTGAACGTGAATGTGAATGTGTGGGTGTAGATCTTGGTGAAGAACGTAAAGAATTAACGTCCGAAATGAATTGCGGCTGATTTTCTGGATGTGAATTATCCGAAATATTTAATGGTGAAATAGATAATTGAGTATCTGATTCTTGATCATGTGTTAATAAATTAGGAACCTGTAAAGTATTTGTTGGATTTGATGAAGATCCTGCATTGATTACATGATCAGAAAGATTCCCATAGTAAGAAGTATCCGGATATTCTTCTATTATATAATTAGAACTAGCCCAAGATCTTCTACGTGATGGATTATTAATTGTTCTAGAATGTGGAAGCGTTCTACTACGTGGTCGAGAATTATATGGATTATATAAATCTGATGTATAATTTCTTCCTAATACTCCTAAAGCTCTAGCACTACTATCTAATTTGAGTGAATTAACTATATCCCGAAACTTGTAAAATATATAAATAGATAGATATAGAATAGATAGATAGATATATATATATATATATATATAAGGTAAAATAAATAAATATTTTTTCAACAGATAAAATACAAATACAAATTAATAAAGAATTATATAATACCTCAATAGCTCCAAATAATGAAGGTCTCGTTCCACGAGCTGGTTGTCTTGATATAACTGAAGCTGGTTTAAACTGATTTTGTCCTTCATGATGAGAATGTGTTGCTAAGTTCGTCATAGAAATAGGTGGTGGTGTAACAGTACGATTACTGTAATCAGGAACATGTCGTTCCCCTTCAGGAAGTAAAGGATCTGTTTCATGGTATGAATCATATTCATATTCTTGATTATCTATTATAAAAATTAAATCAATAATTTTAGAAAAATAAAACTTAAAAAATAAAAATAAAAATAAAATGATTTTTTTTTTTTTAAAAAAAAAAGAAGAAGAATAATAATATACATACCATAATCATCTTCGATTGTCACACCTTGATTATCGGTATCAACATTAACCCTCAAATTTTGATTATATTCATCTCGAGCCTTTTGTTCTTGCCATTTCATTTTTTTTTGATTTTCTGTCCACCAACTTCCTATAAATACTACACTCACATATAGAATATAAAATGCCACCAAAACTATGCTTTCCCATAAATAAATCATCCCATCCCAAATTATTGAAAGTGTAATTATAATTGCGAGTAAGAAAAATATGACATTTCTCATAAATGGAACTTTGGTTACTCGAAATGGTGTTATCACTGCCATGGAACCAGCTACTATTGATGTAATAAAACTAGCCGCTCCTATTAATTCTCCAATTGCCAATGATCCGGATTCATGAGACATGGCTGTGAATGTACTAAAAAGGTCCGGAGATCCATTACCAAATGCTAGAAAAGTTACTCCTGCCTAATTATTTATTATATTATATTAGAAATAATTAAATGAATGTTATAGTTAATTAAATATAATAATAATAATAATGATAATAATAATAATACATATTTAATTATTATTTATTTAATACTTACCATACTTTCAGAAAGGTTTAATTGGGAAGAAATAGTATTTAAATTTGGACAAAAAAAATCGGATGCAGCGACTCCAATAAATCCAAATAAGAAAAGAAGCCAGGTAGACTATTATTTCAAAAATCAATCATTATTTTTCTTAAAATAAATTTAAAAAAATAAAGAAACAAATTTATTTTATATATATATATATATATATATATTATAAGTGTATACCAAAATGAATAATGCCAACAGATTCCAATTTTTAATTGAACAGAAGTAAAATTGTAAATAATCAATTAAGCCGACGACAATATCTTGACAATTTCTTTTAACGAATTCACATTTATCCTTTTGTTTATAAATATTATCGCATTTACGCTAAAAATAATAGAATATTCATCTTTGAATTATTTAATGATGATGTTAAAATAATATTGAATAAATAAATAAAGTGAATAATAAAAATTGATTTCCTAATTTATTTATGTATGTATGTATGTATGTATGTATTATCCTTGTATACTAATTTATACAATATACCTTAGCTGCTATTCTTTCGAAATTATTACTAAAATAACTAATATTTCCTTCAATCGCCAACCATTCCTCAGAATTTCCGGAATTTCCGGAATTTGGAAATCCAAACTCATTTGAAAATTCTTCTTTTTTAAAAAGTGAGGTCACTTCGCTGTGTAAGTTATTATTATTATTGTTATTGTACCTACGTTGCTTCCACAAAAAATTTGTCACATTAAAAAAAAGGAACACGAAAAGTAATAAAAAATAAGTTTTTCGTTTCAACGATAAAGTAGAAGAAGTCATTTGTTGAGGAGAGAATCAAATAATAATAAAAAAAATAAAAATAAATAATTTTCGTCATCGACTAAATAATAGTAGTAGTAAACTATTCATGGTGAGATCTTTGTTGGCTCTTTTTGTATTTTTTGTATGATTTCGAATTGTTTTTGGTATTCCATCTATTTTTTTAATTCCTTTTTTCAAATACACGTGCCGTTTCATGAGCATTTTAACCCAAATAAGAAAATTGTCGATCCATGATCTAATAATGCATAATTATTATATTTAAATTCTGTTTAACTGGATTTTTTTCTCTCTTGATAACAGATAATCTTCTTTGGTATTCTTGCTCGGTTGTTTTTTGGGATTATTTTTTTTTTTTTACTAAATCGAATAATTAAAGACAAAAGAAAAATTTAATTAATTAAAAAAAAAAATGGCACGAAAAAAGAATAAATCTAGTTATATGAGAGAAAAGTCCCTAAATAAAAAAAACAGAAAAAAAAATACGAAAAAAAATGATACGAAGAAAAAAGCTGCTATGGATCATAAAGTTATGATTGAATCATATAAATATATGCAAAAATTAATGAAGGAAACTATGGAAGGAATAACAAATAATTTAAAACAACATAGACTAAATCTTACTGAACGGCTTACAGGATCAACCTCGGGACTTACCTCAGGACTTAGTTCAAGTAGTTCAGGACTTAGTTCAGGACTTGGTTCAGGACTTGCTACAAGAAATTATTCTTCACTTACTTCAGGACTCACTTCAGAAAGAAATTCGTTACTTAGTAGTACAAGACTTACTTCAAGAAAAGATGAATCCGAAAAAAGGTTAGAGAATTTGGTATTTGGTGATGGAAAGGAGAAGAGAAAAGAGAAAATGTCAGATAAAAAAGATTTGGAGAAAGATATTGAAGAGAAGCAGAGTAATAAAAAAGTCGTGAGTACTTTTTAAAAATTAATTCTTTTTTAATTATTTAATTATTGTTGATAATTATTGATATATTTCTTATTTTTTATTTAAATATTCAAAAAAAAAAAAAAGAAATTTTCAATTGATCTCACACCAGATAAATCTATTTCAATGAATGAAACAAATAATGATTCTGAGGATTCTATAAATGTTAACAAAGAATCAAAATTATTGAGATCAACTAATGGTGCATGGTATGATTCTGATGATGAAAATGTTAATGTCTCATTAAAAAGTAAGAATATGTTGAAAAAGTTAAGAAAAACTGAAGAAGAAGATGTTATTTCCGGTAGTCAATATGAAATGAGATTAAGAAATCAGTTTAGTATTTAATTTTATTTTTTTTTTTTTTAATAATCTTTATTAACTTTACACAATACATTATTGTATAATAATAAATTTAATAAATTTAAATAAAATTAAATTTTATTTATTCAATATTTTTTTAGGTATGAAAATTTACACCCGACACCAAATTGGGCAACTCCATCTTCTAAACGAAAGAGAGATGATTCATCATCGACTGAAAAATTAGAACAAGATGAGATATCATCACCTGAACAAGTAGTTAAAACTCCAAACAAAAAAATTCAGATAAAGTTATTATCCGAAAATCCAGTTAAAATACCTGAAGAAGTTACACCAAAGTTATTACCTAATGATAAAATTGGAATAGTCAGAGAAAGAAATGCCAATATACAGGGTTGCTCACAAGTTTGTTATCTATATATATATATATATATATATATATTATTTCCATATTTTATTTCAATATTTAGAAATATTATTAAATAACAAAATATTTTGAAAATATTATTAAAAAATTAGTGTGTCATTCAATCAGCTACTTTTCATCCAAATGCTCAAGTTTTAATGTCAGCAGGATTTGATAAAACAGTACGATTATTTCAAGTGGGTTATATTTGATTATTAGTTATTTACAATTTGTTGTTGTTTACAATCTTTTTTTTTAAAAAAAAATACTTACTCTTTAAAAATCGGAATTATATAAAAAAGATCGACGGGAAAAAAAATCCAAAGATTCAATCTGTAGTTTTTAATGATCTTCCTATAAGTAATGCATCCTTCAATCCTAGTGGATCAGAAATAATTGTTACCGGGAGAAGAAAATATTTTTACAGTTATAACATTGAATCTGGTAATATTGAAAGATCTAATGGAATAATTGGACTCGAAATTAATTCATTGGAAAATTTTAAGATATCACCTTGCGGAAAATATATTTGTTTCCCTAGTATTAGTGGAAATATTGTTTTGGTAAATTATCAAACTAAACAATGGATGGGTAGTTTTAAAATGAATGGAACGGTAACTTCAATTGATTGGTCAAGTGATGGAAAGTATTTGTTTTCGATTGGTAAAGATGCTGAAGTTTATCAATGGGATGTGGGTGCTCGAAGATGTGTTCATAAATTTCGTGATTATGGAGGATTTAAACCGAGTATTATTTCCGTTTCAAAGAATGATAATTATTACGCTATTGGGTAAGTTATTTTTTTTTTTTGTCTCGAGTTTTAATTATATTAATTATATTAATTATTCATTATTAATTATCTCGTGTATAAATTAATTTATCTCGAACGTTATTTATTCAATTTCGTTTTTTTTAACTCGTTATATTCTTTTATAGATCAAATTCTGGAGTGGTAAATGTGTATGATAAAAAATGTTTACAATACGCCAGTCCTCGTCCTTTAAACACTATAATGAACGTGACAACTGAAATTCATGATATGAAATTTAATCATGATACTCAATTACTTGGTGTATCAAGTCGTTCTAAAAAAGGACAAATGAAATTGGTACGTGGAATTTTCTTTTTTTTTTGCGTAAAATTTTATTATAAAAAAGATTTTATTAATAATAAAATTATTATTATTAAAACATTCAAAAATTTACCACTTTTTTTTTTTAACAATAGATACATCTCCCTTCGTTTAATGTATTTCCGAATTGGCCAATTAAACCCATACCTTTGAATTATGTACAATGTTTTGACTTTTCAACTTCAAGCAGTTATATTGCTGCTGGAAATGACAGGGGAAAAGTACTTTTATATAGATTTAAACATTATACCAAGGCTTAAACACATTTAACACATTTAAGAGATTTTTTAGAAAGAAATGAAGAATTCATTAATATTTGATCATCGAGTGCAATATTGATCAAAATTGATAAAATAAAGAAAAAAAATAAAGTGACCATATGTGACTTAAAAAAATATGTACGCAAATTTTCATGGTTTAAAATGATTGTGAAGAATAAAATAAATCCGACGCCATTTAGAGAATAATAAATATAAATTAAAGGATATATAAAGAATGACTCGTGTAACATGACATAATGATATAAATAAGTGATGATGATAGACGCGTCAAAAAAAAATAATGACTTCCTCACCAACCCTTCAAGACCAAGAATTTCCCGACAATTCAATTGTCAATGGTTCTTGTGGTTCAATTGTATCCCAATCTTTTGATTTAGGTGGTGGAGGTTATAATAAACATATTTATAATGAGTTTGATTCGATATTATCAATTTCTATTCAACAACAAAAACAAAGAGAAGATTTGGTTGACAGTCCAGGATCATGTTTTGAAAGCATATTACCAGATCATTTAACCCAAGACAATAATAATAATTTGATTATTAATGAAAGTGTGCTTGAGAGAGAACTTGAAACTTTGAGAAAGACAAATGAGATATTTGAAAATATTAATGATAATATGGATCAATCAAGTGAAAATTTACAAGTAGGGTTTTTCAGATTTGCTTATAATGGATAAACTATTTTTTTTTTTTCAGGTTTAATTTTTTACACATGTCAAAATGACACTTCATTATTCAATTAATCGTATGCAATATGCAATAAAATTATAAAATTCAAAAAAAAAAAAGCAATTTTCAAGTACTGTTGAACAATCTGATCGATTATTGGATATATGGATAAATATATTATCACAAAGTATACGCACGCAAAATTTACTTTCTGATCCTTTATGGCAAGGTCTCACGGCGGTATATATATTTATTATATATTTATTATATTTATTTATTATATATTTATTATATTTATTTATTATATATTTATTATATTAAAAAAAACTACATTTAACCGGAGGGAAAATTAACCGGGGGCAGAATTAAGTTAATGTTGGTAGGGGTAGGGTTAGGGTTAGGGGATTGACCAGGAATTATGTAATTCTGCCTACGGTGAAATTTCCCCCTGGTGAAAATTAGCATCACTCTATTATATTTATTTATTATATATTTATTATATTTGGATATAAAATGGATAATTTATGATTCATATTAATTTATTTTATATACATATAAAGGAAAAAGATCGTATATTAGAGGATCAAGCGAAAGAAAAAGAAAAACAGGAACAATTGGAAAGATTTCAACAGGAACAATTAGAAAGAGAACAATTAGAACGTAAAAGAATAGAACGTGAACAAGAGGAATTTGAAAAACAAGCTATTAAAAATCCACCCGGGAAAAGTAATAATAATGATGATCATGATGATGACGATGATGATCGTATTTTTTTTTTTTACTTATACTCGATAAATTCATAATTTTGTAGCTGAAGAAGTGACAAAGACGAAACAATCTAAATTATATCAAGCGTCTACTTTAAGAATTAATCCAACCACGGCACGAGGAAGGAAAAGTAATTAATCTATTAATTTTTTTTTAAAAATAATTAGAATAAGATATATAAACAATAATTTCTTCCCCCCCTTTTTTTTATATTTATTAGAATGAGATGAATATATAAAATTACATTAAAACAATAGTTTGAAATTGTTCTTTGTATAAATAAATTAATATTATCAATTATTGAAATTCATAAACTTTATAAAAATTAAAATCAAATCTTTAATTGTAATATTTCAAAATGACTAATACAATTAAATGTATTTTCCTTGTTTCGGAGATGTCACGTTGAGTCACGACGTTCGGTTCCTTACTCTTTTTGGAAAATTTTCATGATTAGATCGAGTACGTGTCGTGCGCGCAGGCGAGAACGACGATTTAGAAGAGTAGATTATCAAATTATCATTTCACAAAAAAAAAATTTCTTAGAATAGAAATAATGGATCACTATCGCGAAATCTTAGATAATTTATTTTTTAAATACGAGAAAAAAAACTCTTCCATCCAATATCTCAACTCTGTCTATTTTTATCTATTAAATTTCAATGTTATTTGTTTTCCTATTATTAAAAGATGCCAGCAAAACTCAAAACTATGTGTTATTGTTCATAATTGTACAAACAAACCGACTTTGTTATAAAACAAGTAATGACGATTTCAAGATTGAGTGAAGTGGTCCCAACAAAAATTATCTATTTGCAAGTAAGAGCCTTTATCCACCTAAACCATAAGATTGAAACAACCATTGAAGAATTCGAAATCAGAGTGTGTTGGGTAAATTGTTTGATAATTCATTACATTTGTTATCAAGTGTTAAATTATTTTAGAAGTAGATATAAGTATTGAAGATTTTTGGCATAATAAAATAATAATAAAATAATTTGGATAGCATATGTAGTTGGAACCAAGAAACTTTTGGCTAGAAGTAATTCACAGAATTAATAATTGATACTATGTCCAATGACTACCTTTCCTTTCATACTTCTAACATGTGTTTACAATACTGTTTTTAGATTTTCAAAATATCATTTATAAGTAATAACAAGATTTTATTAATTATATAAAATAACTATAATTTCAATTATATTAATATGTGGTAACTGGAATCACCACACAGATAATAAGAAGTGAGAGTGGTTGTTTCATATTAGAATTTGATGTTGAAGAATATTTGGATATTTTGAAAAATTATATATGTTGTCCAAATTATTTTTGGCATAGTAAAATAATTTGGAATTTAGAATTTTGAAAAATAATTGGAATAACATATATAGTTGAAATCAAAAAACTTTTGGTTAGAATGACTCACTTGTAATAACAGCTGAAGCTTCTAGGAGCTCAACAATGAGGAGGAAATGGTTGTAATGTGTAATTTACAAAACTAATAATTGATACTATATTCAATGACTACCTTTCCTTTCATACTTCTAACATGTGTTTACAATATTGTTTAAGACTTTCAAAATATCATTTATAAGTAACAACAAAATTTATTAATTATATAAAATAATTATAATTTCAATTATATTAATATATAGTGACTGGAATCATCACACAAACAATAAGAAGTGAGGGTGATGTAACAGTTTTCTATTATCATATATTATTTATATTTTATATTATATTTTTTGTTACTATATTTTATCTATTTATATTTTATTTTATATTTATCATATGAGTGATCAATTTAGATTTAGGTTAAGATTAAGAATTAAGATTATTTCTAAATGTTTCATTTTAATTTATTAATTATATACTACAATAAAAATATATAATTTTATATAAATATAGAACTTGTAATAATAAAAGAGAGACATTCTTGCCAGTGTTTGAAATTTGAATGTGCAAATTATACTTGCATGTAAAATAGCTTATCATAGTAAGTTGAAATATTTCAGGACCCGAAAGTCAAAACAGTTTTCATAGAAGACAAAATTATTTTATTTAAAACCTGAAATTTTTTGACCACCCAGATAAATTCTTTGATTAAAAATATATCAAACTAGATATTTTTTTTATTTTCATATATAGAATAGATATTTCAAAAATCTCAAAAAGGTGAAATAACTCAAAAATCAGAAATCAATTTTGAAAACATATGTAGTACAGATCTAATAAAATTATTTGATTTTGGAAAATTAAGTAATTTTATTGGATCCACACATTTGAATTTCAAACACTGATTCTTGCTTTCACATTTAACAATTAATTATTACTTCTGAATTGTAATGAAGTACTTGCTAGTACTTCTAACAAATTGAATTAATTCAAATTGACTTGAATCTTAGGATATGATCCTGATTTCTGAATTAAATCAAAAAGTATAATTTAACTTCAAATTAAGTAATTATAATTCTAAACAGTAATCATGATTTATAAATCAAATTAAAAAAAAAATTTTTGTATAAAATATATAAAAAAATAATTTTTATTAAAATATAAAAAATAATTAAAACAGTATATTATAAATATTTATAAATATTAATTGTTAAATATTGAAAAGCTAATACATTATTACAGAACTAATAAAATATATGTAGTATGATATAAAGAACAATTTTTATTAATATATAAAATATTCTTAAAATAACAGTTTTCAAGAATCTATAATATTTATAAAATATTTACTGTTAAATATCTCAAAAGCTAATGTAAATAATTACTATGATACTAATAAAAGATGTGTAAAATAATATAAGTAACAACTTTTATTAATACATCAATATCTTTAAAATAATGATTTTTGAGATTTTGTAACATTTATAAATCTTCATTAACTTTGGTCAATTTTCAAGTTTAAAATTATTGATCTTAATCTAGTTCCACAGGTCAAATACAAAAGAATTGCTATATCAAATGATAATTTCTATATTATAGATCAGCTAAAAATCAAAATCACTAAAAATTTCAACCATCCTATTGTATCCTATATTATAAATTAACTAAAATAGAATTTCTTTTCAGTATGGAAATTCTTTTATATTTGACCTGTGTTCAATTTGTATCTTGAATCAGATTATACAGATCAACTTGAATCAATCTGTTTTATTAGAAACACTAGTATTTGTTTAATTATATTTAATTATAATTATATTTTATATTGATTTTGAATTAAGTAGAAATAATTATTCTCTTATATTTTTATTATAAATAAATAATAAATTATAAAATTTATTACAGGTGGTTTTTTCTTATTAGAATTTGATGTCGAAGAATATTTGTATATGTTGTCTAATTATTTTTGGCATAATAAAATATTTGAAATTTGAAATTTTGATATTATAGTAATTTAATAATAATTTAATAGTAATTTAATATTTGGGATTTTGAAAAATAATTTAAATAACATGTATAGTTTAAACTAGAAAGTGGATAGGTTTTAAAGGATACTATTTTAATACTAACACAATTAATTAAAATACAAAATCAATTATTATTATTTTGATTAATATGATCAATTATATATCTTCTATTTATAAACTGGTAATATATTATTAAATTTATTTTGAATTTGAAAGATATTTCTTTAATTACTAATAACTAAACAACAGCAAACAATTAAGAATTATTAATGTATTATAGTTGAATACAAATTATCACAATGTTTATTGTAAAATTACTTTTATAATATTAATAATACATAATAATATAGAATTATACTTATGTGAGAATCATTTGTGAAGTAGTTAACTTTCAAGGTATCATTCTCTAGAATACATGATGTGAAGCATGAATGCATGAAAAGTAGGTACATTGCATACTTGGTATTATGACAAGAGGTGTAACATTACTAATGGAGATTTATTAAATAAATATAAGATGAACATAAACTCTTTAGATAATTTATTCAAGAAAACTATTAGTAAGATTATAAAAACTATTATTAATAAATATGCATATAACTGTTAGTCTCTACTAAATGAACTGAGAGAACAGTGTAAATGTTAATTATTTAATTTTAAAATAAGAAAGTTTTAAACGCACATAATTCTCTCAATTTTAAAGTGATAGGTCTGATATTTTTATAAAGTATACAATACATTCTTGGCTTTAGGTTTACTTAGTAATATTTTTGACTTTTACTTATCAAAATAAAAATTTTTATATGTAGCAACGATCATGAATTATTTTTGATTTGTAATTTTTCTAAAGTTACACTAAATAAGGATTGTCAAAGGAACAAATTGATTATTACCTTATCACCGCGAATTGGATCACCATTTACATAATTTTGAAATGTCAGTAAATGTCAGTATCATTTATATCATTATACCAGTAAAAGTTTTTTTATGAAAAAGGAAAAATATTGGTAACACTATAACCAATTTCAATAAATTTATTACTATTTATTATATTTTCATTTTATGAATAATCCACATAGAATATTCGGAATTTATTTACTTTTTTTTTGGTTTGTTTAACATTTTTCATATACTGCGTTTGTGTTTACTGTGTGCATAATTGCAGTATTTTTCATGAGTTCATTGCAATGGCGATTTCAGTAATTTTTAGGTGTGGAAGAAGAGCGGCGATAAAATACAAAATTCTAAAAAGAATTGTTAAGATCACTGTCACCACTGGGAAAATTACATAATTCCGACGATGATCTTTAACTCAACGCGGAGATTTCTATTTAATTTTAAAATGAAAAAGTTTTAGACGCACATAATTCTCTCAATTTTAAAGTGATAAATCAGATATTTTTATAAAGTATACAATACATTCTTGGCTTTAGGTTTACTTAGTAATATTTTTCACTTTTACTTATAAAATAAAAATTTTTATATGTAGCAACGATCATGAATTATTTTTGATTTGTAATTTTTCTAAAGTTACACTAAATAAGGATTGTCAAAGGAACAAATTGATTATTACCTTATCACCGCGAATTGGATCACCATTTACATAATTTTGAAATGTCAGTAAATGTCAGTATCATTTATATCATTATACCAGTAAAAGTTTTTTTATGAAAAAGGAAAAATATTGGTAACACTATAACCAATTTCAATAAATTTATTACTATTTATTATATTTTCATTTTATGAATAATCCACATAGAATATTCGGAATTTATTTACTTTTTTTTTGGTTTGTTTAACATTTTTCATATACTGCGTTTGTGTTTACTGTGTGCATAATTGCAGTATTTTTCATGAGTTCATTGCAATGGCGATTTCAGTAATTTTTAGGTGTGGAAGAAGAGCGGCGATAAAATACAAAATTCTAAAAAGAATTGTTAAGATCACTGTCACCACTGGGAAAATTACATAATTCCGACGATGATCTTTAACTCAATGCGGAGATTTCTTTATGGCAATAGTAACTCAACGCGGAGATTTTCTCTCAAAAATGCTATAAAATGCTTTACTTCTTTCTTTCCCACCTTTTATCATCCCTTCTTTAAGTATGGAAAAGACTAGACATACTAAACACGCGTGTGATTCTTGCCAAAAAAAAAAAAAAAATGTAACCGTTTTGGATACACCTGTCAAAGGTGTATGGATTTTGGCATTCAATGTAAATATTCCCCTCATAAAAAAAGAGGAAGACCCAGTAAGTTAAAATTTATTAATTCATCATATTCATTATATTCATTAATTTATTTTTATTATTTTTTATTAATTAAAAAATAGAAAACGTTAATCAGACTACTACTAATAATAATGTTGGATTGGAAATTGAAACATCTAATTCTGGTAATTTCCTTGAGTCAAATGAAAATTGTTCAGAAACAATTTATCCGGGCAGTTCCTCCCAAACAAATAACTTCCCTCAACTGAATGATTTACATGGTTCTCAAAAGAATGATTTAGTGAATGACTTCTCTTTTACAAATAATTCTATACATAGTTTACCTCAAGAAAACAATTTAGTGAATTATTTCTCTTTTGCAAATGGTTCCACTCAAGAGAATAATTTCTCTTTTATAAATAGTTTCCCTTATGGTTATCACAATTCTAAGTTCTGATATAAAATTACGAATTCTAAAATCATGTTAAGCATTTATTTTCCCTAGTTCAAAATTACATCGATAACTTTTATTACTATACTTTTCTTTATTATATTTATCCCCATATTTATTATATTTATCTACATATTTCTTTATTAACTTAATAAATATTTTACATATCAATATAACATAATTATCTATAAATGTTTGATACCACGATTCGATTTAAAATATTAAAATACGATCTTATTAATACACATAATGAATAATTTCTCTAGTGAAATTATCACCACTACTAAAGAAAAAATATGTATCAGGAGTTTTATATATTGAAATAAAGATTGTATTTTAATTTTTACTTTAATAATAATAAAGATTGTATTTTAATTTTTACTTTAATAATATAGATATACAGTATATAAATAAAAAAATATACTTGTCACCGCTGGTGATAGTCACCGTTGGGCAAAATTAACAAAGTTAAGGTTAGGGTTAGGATCAGGGAATTATGTAATTTTGCCCAGTGGTGACAATCACCACTGATGATTTACCCTATATAAATAATTTACTTTTTTCATAATTAATGTCCACTGACAAGAGATTTAAAGAGTAGTACATCTAGTTACACATTAATCAAAATTATTCTCTATTCTCATAATAAAAATATCGCATAAAATATATTATAATCAAACATAAATTGTTCTAGGGATACCTTTGCGCTTTTTCTTATTATCAAATTTTATTATTTATTTCTTTCTTTATCCTGTGTGCTCACGTTTAAAGGCACATATTCGTATTAAAAAAGAATGATAAAATTAAAATAAGTTCCTTCCTTTGAATTGTAGCAATGGTACGTTAGGAAATAATAATAGTAACAAATATAAGCAAATAAATAATAAAATAATTTCCGTTAGAGCAGTTTTAAAGGTTGGACCAAAAGAGTTAAGACAATGGTTGATTAACAATAATAATAAGTACAATAATAAGAAATGATTACAATTATAATTTATTTTATATAAGGTTATGCAAAGACTAATGAAATAATATTAAATAATTATAGAACCACAAAATACAAAACTATGTATAATTTATCCCTTTTTTGAGATGATGATGATGACATCCGAAAACTTGTTTATTGTTTTGGAGCACACTTGAAGAAAATTAAACCAATCTCAAACATACAAAGGAAGTTAAAAATCAGCCGTTGGTTATATCTTACGTTGGAAGAAAGCCAGGGTTATTTATGATCTTTTATGTAAAATTGATCCATATATTTAATTAAATACATTAAAGAGAAGAAATTAAAAGCGTTCTCGTCATATCGTATTTTGAAAGATGTGTATTATGGTCTTGACTCCGAAGGCATAGATGCAATTCCGCTATCATCCACCAACCTATGAAATTCGGGCGACGATAAGTACTTCGAGGAATGTATCACAAAAATTAACAAGAGATTCGCTTATAATATCTTGAAAAATCTCGAGGACGATAGCATTGAATCCCGCAACCAGATCAATGCTTGAAATATAACAGTGATATTTTAACATTTCCTCTCAAGGCTTTCATCCAGCTCAGTTACGGCCATCTCTTTCACAGGCTTTGCATCGAAAAAAATCTAAATTGTGAAAAGATTGTTGATATAATAGAACCAGCTTCTACTAGGCGAGATTCTTCAAATGAAAAAAAAAAAATTGGAATTTTCGATTATTGAATCGGATTATACTTACTCTAGGTAATTTTGATTTAATAAATCCTGTTAAGTCTTTACTAAAACAAATTGATGAAGTACGATTAGATATATAACAATAATGAACCAGCTGAGCCACAAATTAAAATATTACTGGTGGACATCATATAACTAATAAAGAAATTATAAAAATAAGCTTCATTGCTTCTGTCCGTCAAAAATTTGAACCATAAAAAGGTCAGAATTATCATAAAAATAAATAACATAAATTTTTATACTATTAATTTTATTATTTTATAATATAAGAGTAATAAAAATAAAACTTACATATTTTACTATTATAACCTACTTTCATGTTCTTTTTAAATAAAAAAAAATAATATATATAATAATATTATTTTAGTCAAAGGTGTATAGCACGAACTTTTTTGTCATTTGATGTTACACGCATTTTTTAATTAATGATAAACTGGATAAGTGAATAATTAAACAGAGGATATTTTTTCTTTATCGGTAGAATAATCAATTTTTTATGATTATTTTTCACGAATATTCTCATTTAGATTATATGTTCTTAGATTTCCATAAAATAAAGTTTTGTATTTTGGTTCACAATTATAATTTATTAAATTATATAGAAGTAATTATAATATTTTAAAGAAATTATTTTCAAAAATAATATAACTACTTTAATATTAATGTTAACTTTAAATATTTTATTGTAAAATTATTTCATTGTATTAAAACATTAGAAATATTCCTGTACATATTATTTCTTGCGAATGGTAGTAATAGTGATAGTTTAACTTCCATAGATATAGATTCAATGACTTCGATTAATCAAAATTATTTTTATAACTGCAAGTTTAAAGTACATGTGTGCGGATTCTTCAAATATGTATTAGTCGTAAACCAAAATTATTTAATTGGAATGTTCTTTCAGTTCTTTTAGTTCTTTTAGTATTTTTAGTAGTGGAAGAATTTCCTTTCCTAAATTATTTCCCACCAACTCTACTACAAGAAAATGATGAATAATGCATCATGACGTCAAAAAACTTGTTTTTTATAAATTTGGAAAGTTTAGTGAATCAGCCAACTTTTTTACCTTGAGGTCAAAATATAAACCTATAAATGGACTAAGTTAAATTTTGCTTTGATAAATTTTCAATTTTTTTTTGTATTATTAATATTATTATCTTACTCTTAGCGGATAATATTGTAATTTAAATATTAAAGCAACAAGACAGCCCAGTTATTCTGATAAATCAAAGATAAGACAGTTTATACAGTTTATTGTTTTAATATTCAAGGGAGAGTGGCACAAAATACACGATTGTATTTGATTACGCGGAGATTTCTTCGTGGAAAATTTCAAAATCCAATAATAACTCAACGCGGAGATTTCTTCGTGGATAATTTCGAAATCCAATAGTAACTCAACGCGGAGATTTCTTCGCGGATAATTTCAATAATGCCATATAAGAATGAATTTTACCTTCTTTTCTTTTCATCTTTTTACCGTCCTTTCTTTAAGTATGGAACGAACTGGGCATGCGTGTGATTCTTGCAAAGATAAGAAAAGAAAGTGTAATACTCCTGGCCTTGGGTACATCTGTCAAAGATGTATTAGTATTGGCATTCAATGTCAATATTCCCCTCATAAAAAGAGAGGAAGGCCTAGTAAGTTAAACTTGTATTCATTATATTATTATATTCATTAATTTATTTTGATTATTTTATTAATTAAAAAATAGAAAAGGAACAAAACCTCCCTCAAGTTTTTACAAATAGTTTACCCCAAGTGAATGATTTCTCTTCCATAAATTCTTCACCTCAAGTGAATGATCTCGCTTTTACAAACTGTTACTTTCAAGTAAATAATTTCCCTCGGGTGAACGATTTTCTTTTTACAAATAATTCACCTCAAGAGAATGATTTTCCTTATATAAATAGTTCCTCACATATAAATGATTCCCCTCAAGTGAACGATTTTTCTTTTACAAATGGTTCACCTCAAGTGAATGATTTCTTTTTTATAATTTATTTACCTCAAGTTAATAATTTTCCTTCTATAAATAGTTCCCCACATACAAATGATTCCCCTCAAGTGAACGATTTTTCTTTTACAAATGGTAGCGAATGATTTCTCTTTTACAAACCGTTCACCTCATTTCCTTTTATAAATAGTTCCCCACATACAAATGATTCGAATGAATTCTCGAATTATTGATTATCACCATATATAAAATTACGCATTATTTTAATTTTCCTATTACTTGGATAACCAAATTGCATCGATACTATGCTTTTCATTATTACATATTTTTTTTTATTAACCTGATAAATATTTATATTAATATAACACATAAAGTATATGTTATCTATGGCCATTTTTTTTCTTAGTCATATGATTTGAAAAAATGGGATGGAAATTTTAAAATGCAAAACAAACGTTTATACATTTTTAGATTCCACAAATATATCCCTTATTTAAAATATTAAAGTATAATCTTATAATACACAATGGTAAAATCTCTAAATCTATTCTAGTGGGATTATCACTACTACTAACTTCGCAAGAAAAAGATCGTCATTAGAAAGCTTTGTTTATTAGTCAAAAAAGGACATCAAATAGTTAACGTACATTACTATATTATGTTATTCTTATATTTATTAACATTTATTTTTTCAATAATATTTTTTTTTAGTAATAATTTATATTTTATTTTATTTTAAATATTTTTTTACAATTTTTTTTATCATAAAAACAACCTATTATTATAATTAATTTTATATGAAATTATTTCAAACTTTATTTTATTCAAAAAAAAAAATAATGGTGTAGCTGAATTTAGAAATAAAGATACCATTAAATTACATTATTGAATTTATAAAAAAAATTGTCTCTAATGAAATGCAAATAACATAGTATGTGTCTCTACTTCAAATATGCTAATAAAATATACTATTTAATTCTTTTAATAAAAATGTTCAAAAGCGAAAGGATTCTGTATTAGACAGTATCTTATTTTTTTGGGTAACATAACATGAATTATTTTCTCATTTCAAACAATAAAATAATTATGTATAATAATAATGTATGTATAATAGAATGATTTCATTAAAAGGTATATATTCAATTAGATTACCCCGTAATATTTCTTAATAGGAACAAAGTATTCATTACTTTCTCACGACTCTTGTTCGCGAATAAAAATTATAAAATAAAAATTTATTAACAATATACTGTTAAATACTGTTGAGTATTATTAAATAAAAATTTTTTTATATTTTTTTACGATACATAATGTGTTTTGTAAAAATATAAAAACCAACTTTAGCTCAGTTTTTCTCAATTTTTCATCTTAAATGAAATCAATTAAAATGAATTTCATTTGATCAGGAATTCATACCAAAATGAACGTAAATGCCCTGATAATTTTGTTTCTAAATGGAATATAAACGCATCTGTTTTTATCCCAGGAAGTTGGGGTGTCAGCCAATTATTCTATAATACCCGTGGAACCTAAAAATAACCAAACCCATTAAGACTCACAAGTTGCCAATTCTTCCAATTTTCACAATTCTCTACCAACTATCATCAACTCGACACCAGCTATCATTTAAATAATCAAAGTCATCCGCTCAGTTCTCAAACCCACAACAAATTCTATAAAATAAAACTAAAATTAAAATGAAAATAAAGACATCACCAATGACCACGAGAAACCTAAAAAACTTAGGATAGTTGGAGAGATTAAAAAAGAAATGTTTTTTTTTTTGGCAGATAATAAATCACAATTGTTTTTAATATTCATTGCCAATACCTTTAATTATATTTATTCATGAAAGATATTCCCATTTTCATATTTTTAAATTTTATCATTTTTAATGCGGATTTCACATGCCTTTAAAAAGAGGAAACATAGGATCCCACCAGGATTCTAATTAGTGAAGAAATAAATTTATAATAAATTTGATAATAAGAAAAAGTGCAAAGGTATCCTTGGAACAATTGGTTATAATCTATTTTATGTGGCAATTCTTATTATAAGATTAAAATAATAGAATAATTGTTATTAATGCGCAACTAGATATTAAAGTATGTATAATAGGTAATTAATTTTATTAAATTTGAAGATGTCAATTTTATAAATACAATCTTTACTTCAATATATAAAAAATTCCTGATATATATTTTTTCTTTAGTAGTAGTGATAATTTCACTTGTATAGATTTAGAGAAATTATTCATACCTCTCAAGACTGTATTTTAATATTTTAAATTGTATATTTGTTATATCTAAAAGTTGGATCAATGTTTGTTCAAATTCAATATTTTATTACATCAAATAATTATATATAATTAATACTTTATTGTGTTATAATATAAGATAATAATAAAAGTATAGTAATGAAAAGTTATCAATATTATCTACAGTATACTAGTCAAAAACAAAAAAAAAATCACTGGCTAAAATCGTCAAAAATCGGAATTCCTAAGTATATAAAAACTAAAAATCGGACAAATTGACCATCCTATTCTATCTATTCTTTTGTATTTGACCTGTGGAGTGATAATTTCATTAGCATAGATTTAGAGAAATTATTCATACTTCTCAAATTATGAGCAGCAGGGAATGCGAGCAGATTTTTTTCTTTCTTTGATAGAGTCCAAGTTTTTTTTTTTGTCGAAATTACCTTCTTGGGTAATTATTTTGTTTTTTCAGTTTCATGGCCTTTAGAAGTTATCATTTTAGTTAATACTCCACAAGAGAAAGTAAGTGAATAGTGAATATAAATAATCTATTAGAAGAATCATGTGATACAAAATCAAAAACTTTGTTATGTATTTATAATTTATTTTCTTGACAGAGTTAGAATAAATAAATATTTCTGGTTATATGATATCAAGCTAAAGTTTAATATCACATGAAATTTAATTATATGACAGAATACGCTTTGTATGATTAGAGATTCCTTATGATGCTTTCACCCTTCAAGAACATTATTTCAGGGGATAGGTAAAGATACACTCATCAAGAAGGATTTTAAATTAATGCAATATAAATAATATATCTAATATATCTTTTTACTTTGATTATCAAGCTTAATTTGAATTACACAAAATATTCTTTATTATATCTAATATCTTCCAGAAAAGCAATTTATCTTTTTTTGTTATTTTTTATTGATTTATTTTTGACATTCATATTGATATACTTTAATAAAATCTATATAATCAAATTTGTAGCAATTTTTTTAGAATCTTTTTCTTGTACATTTTTTTTTTGATTTTGTATCAACAAACCCACTCAAATCAAAATTAATAAAAAAGAATTGATGACTTTTTGGTTCTAAAAGGATGTTCCTTTGAACAATATCATTGTATAAAATGCCGTAACTATGTATTATTTAAGTTGACACATAATTGTTTTCTTTTCTTCTACTGTAAGGTTTTCTGGATCAATATGGCAAGCATCTTCAATTAATTGCAATGGCAACACATAAAGATACTAATCATTGACATAACCTCCATATAATAACTGTGAAATAATTTTTCTAACATTATTATTGTCAAAATAACAAGTTAATATAAATAAATATTATAAAGGAAAAAAAGAGTACCTATACGCAATCCTTTAAAATCGAGTACACATTTATTTCAACTCTTAATCTTTTTTTTGCTTCTTTTTCCTTATACCCGTCACAGGTTTTCCAGACCACAGCTTTACCATGATAATAGCCAGAAAAAACTTTTCCAAAGGTTCCACTGCCTATGTATTCATCTATAATAGTAATTCTCTTAGAAGAACTTGTAACTACTTTTTTGCTACAGTTGATCTTTTTTGATCCTTACTTCATATTCTTCAAAAGATAATCATTATAATTATCAAATTAATTATTGTGAATCAATTTATTATCAAAATTATCATTAATAGCAAGTTGGCTAATATAATAAACACATTCGCGTAAAGTTGATTGTCATCATTGGGTTAAACAATGCGAGTAACATACAAGATGGTTGGGCTTACTTCTCCTAGCTTGAGAAAGTATGTATTGTTATAATTTGATAAAATCCCGTAATGGAGGCCATTGTAGGTCATTTCACCAACTACTTGTGATAGGATCTTTTCCTTAAATTTAAATTTGGATCCGTTATTTGATAAATTTTCAAGAGAGGATGATCAGATTGTGTCACGTTTTCATTACTACAGGCACCTTGGACAATGTAGTATTAATGTATAAAACGTAATTTGGAAAGTACAACAACTTAGGACATTCACGAAATATCGCTCCTTATATTTTTAATAATGTCTCAGTTTGTAAAGTTCATACAATTCCTATTTCTCTTATTTTAATAAAAATAACAATTACTTTATACTTTTGTCTTAAAGTGTTGCTGAAATAACCAAAGGAACCCTGTATA